CAGAGCAAGTAGTTGAGTCCCAGGGAACATGGCCACTCCCTGTGGTGACATGCATATGGAAGTGTGGAAGAAAGAGGCCAAGTTGTTGCTGTTACTTTCTGGAAGCCGATTAGCTGGGCATGGAGGTCCATATCCTAGTTGCCTACTGCTGTAAGATCCTAAACACTGCAGACTTCTAGTGTCTCTGGCTCCCAGAACAGCTGGTTCCTTGCCAGTGGCTGAAGCAATTCATGAGCACATTCAGGCTTGGAGAAGAAACAGAGAAGCCCTGCCTTAGGAAGACCTTAGAGGAACCCCCCAAAGCCAGAAGGGGCTCAGGCCTGTGCCCTCAAATCATGATAGACATCCCCTGAGCCTGCCTGCCTCCTCTGTTAAGGCCCTTGGACTCCAAAGATCCTTTGAACCCAGATGCATCTATGGAGCCACAAGCAGCAGATGGGTCCCTGGAGTGAATTGTCCTTGTTTCACCTTGGTCCTGCAACCTTTTCTATGCTGGTTGAAGATGCGTTAGAAACATCTGAGGCTTAGAGGACAGAATATTTTTCTGAGTGTGTGTGTGCTGAGGCAGGGCAGGTGACATGAGAGATAGCATCCTGATGCAGGAGCAAAGAGCAGCAGGTGTTCTGATGCTATAGGCATTGAGGGGCTCTGTGTGTTCATTGAGAAGGGGAACCTTGCTGTGGCTTAAACTATGCCCCCAAATTCACCCAGGACTTCATAAGGTGGCCAAATTTGGACAAGAGGGTCTCCTATTTGCTTCCTGGGTGCTGGAATTATAGGCATGTGCCTCCACACCCATCTGGATTCCCTCTTGAAGACCCCAGGACCTAACCAAAATTTACCTCTGCTCCATACTCAGTGTTGCAACAGGAAGTTAGACAAGAGCAACAGTGAGCAGTTACCAACCTCTGTCTTGGACCACAGGTCCAGTTTGCATCCCTGCTAAACCAAAGAATACCACTTACCCTGCTGGACAGCCAAATGCTATTTAGATAGCTGGGGAATAATACTGAGAGATGGGCTGAAAAGAACATAGATGCCATATGTTTGTTTGTTTTTTAAGATTTTTTTTTTTTTTTGGTTTTTCGAGACAGGGTTTCTCTGGGTAGCTTTGGAGCCTATCCTGGCACTCGCTCTGGAGACCAGGCTGGCCTCGAACTCACAGAGATCCGCCTGCCTCTGCCTCCCGAGTGCTGGGATTAAAGGCGTGCACCACCAACGCCCGGCCATAGATGCCATTTGTTAGCCAGACCCCCTAGAACACCTTCCCATGTGCTGACAGGTGACCCTGGTCCCTGTTTCTGACCACTGAAGCCATACAAAGTCACCAGCTCTCCTCCAGGGACACCCCTCAATGCTGCAGCTAAGGTAGGTCTTGTCCTGTCATATAAATCACTGTGACAATAGATAATGATGCCGGACACCATGCTCCCCAGAGGCACCACGTCACCCCTGATGAACCCAGAGACATCACCCACCCGAGGCAGCCAATATTTTCAATAGAGCTTGGACAGTAAAGGACTGACCATAGCCCTCAGGGAGGATATTCCTCAACACTGCCGTGTGTATCTGTGCCTGCCACAGAACCTGTAAGTCAAGGAAACTAAGCCATCATCTCATGGTTGTAGGACTCCACTGTTCAGCCAGGTATGGTGGTGGGTATCTTTTATCTCAGCATTCAGGAAGCAGAGTCCTGCAGGTCTCTGTGAATTAGAGGCCAACCTGATCTATACAAGGAGCTCCAGGCCAACCAAGGTTATATGATAAGATTTTATCTAAAAAAATAAAATAAGATTCCATAATCTATCCATGACACAGTGTCTTGCTGGTTTGTGCTAGTGCTGGTGTTTGTACTTCTTTCATAAGGTTTAGAACAGGAATTTATCTAAGCTGGCACTTGGGAGGCTGAGAGGGCTTGATTTCTTTCTTCCTTCCATCCTTTCTTTTTTCTTTCTTTCTTTCTTTATCTTTCCTTTTTTCCTTTTTTTTTTTTTTTTTTTTTTTTTTTTTGTAGCCCAGGCTGTGACCTCCAGGCCTGCCAGAGTTGTGTCATATGACCCTGTCAGAAAGAAAGAAAAGAGATGGGAAAGGAAAGGAAAAAGAAATAGGAGGTAGTACTGCTGGAAGGATCAGCCTTCAGCAGCTCAGGAATTAAAGGGGAGCCGTGGACTCAAGCAACTAATCATTCAATTGCCATTCTATCTGAGAGAGTAAAACTTAATTCTCTGGGGCTGACGAAAAAAGGAAACGCGCGCACGCGCATGCACACACACACACACACACACACACACACACAGCTCCAACATGTCAGGATCTCACCTAAAGTGCTGATGGATGGCAAATCTTCAGCAGGTCAGAGAAACTGAAGAGGAGATGCAGAGCAGGTGAACTACTGGACAGACAGACGCATGAGGACTTTTCTGAAGGCCGAAGCTTAGTTCTTCGCTTTATTATTCTTTTTGTTGCTTGTTCTACTCTATTCCTTTTCTGTTCTGTTCTTCTACCCTGATTTTTTCTTTCTGTGTGTCTTTATTTTTTCCCTTCTAGCTTATATATCCCAGCAGAATCTTCCAAGCAATATAAAAGTTATAATAAGGTTACATTCTATTTCTTAAGTGAATGATTACAATGAATACAAGTAAAAAACATGTTTCCCATTTCCCTACATGAGTAAATATTTTACATATTGCAGGTGAAAAACAAATTACCCCCAAGAAGCCACACACAGTTAAACATTTAACTTTTGGACTTCCCATAGACCAGGGGCTTTTCAGCCATAACTGTTTCCATAGGCAGTAGTTTATAATAAATACCAGGAAAACAGGTTTCTAGTTTCACTTTTTATATTTTAGAGTTCTGCCTAATTATCTTAACTAACCAACCAATTCTTTGTTTTTTTTTTAGTTGCATAAAGTCATTAAAAATCTTTGTTTTAGCTATGATGCACACCAAAACCCAAGAACACATTTCCTAACATCAAGATTAAGAGAACTCAATTAGCTTAACTCCTGGGACTCGATTGTTTTCTTTAATCATTAACCTAAACCATAGTCTATATGACTACTCAAGAGAAACTCTCATAAGTCCTCGATGTGTGACATTTCCTTGTTCCTATTTCTATTTTTTATCCTCTGTAGCTCCTGCTTTATCAGGGGTGGGGGCAACACTATATCCTATCTTTATCTATATTAATTTTCCCACTAAACTAACCTCTATCATAATCCCTTACTATATTTGTTAGAAATCCTTAATTATCAAAATCCTACTTAAACTAACACTATTATTGTATAAAATCAATTGCACTTCAATTAAACAGTACAGCTTAAGAGGAAATCATCTTCACAATAATTCACAGGTAAAAATGCCTGGCAAAACAGGATATTTCTATGAGATAATCGCACTACATTAAAGTGGGATCCCCTATATCCATCAATACCATGTCAGACACCAAAGATGCCAGTGGCTAACATGTAAAGGCACAAAGGTAGCAAGAGACATTCTGGAGCCAAAGCCCTTGAGGCCTTGCCTATCTGAAATTCACCCATCAGTGCCTTGCATTCTGATGATCCAAACTTCTGAAGCTCAACTGCTACCTGCTGCTCCTCTGACATGGCCACTAGCAGGGTGAAGAGATAGCTCAGTTGTTAAGAACACGTTTTGCTCTTACAGAGGACATACAGTTAGTTCCTAGCACCCACATGGTGGCTCACAATCATCTGTAATTACAGTTCTGAGGCATCTGCTACCCTCTTCTGGCCTCCACCTTCATGATAACAGGTATGCCCAATGTACATACATATATGTCAGAAAACATCTACATGTAAAAATAATCTTTCAAAAACAGGTAGGGATTTACCCATTTTAATTGAAGAGGTCGTGTCTAGATTCTTGACACCACAAACGTAAGTGGGCATTTTCATTCAAGGTACATGCTGGCGGCCAGGCGTTGGTGGCACATGCCTTTTAATCCCAGCACTTGGGAGGCAGAGGCAGGCGGATCTCTGTGAGTTCGAGGCCAGCCTGGTCTCCAGAGTGAGTTGAGTGCCAGGATAAGCTCCAAAGCTACACAGAGAAACCCTGTCTCGAAAAACCAAAAGAAAAAAAGAAAAAAAAAGGTACATGCTGGCACAAGCCTGTTTTTCAATAATCCACATGTCAGGTGAGGTATCTTGCCACAGAACTCACACTCCCTGCAGCCTTAGCCTTAAAGTGGACTCAGAGACCCCTATCATTTCAATACAACCTCCCTTTGGAGCTCACATTCCTACTTCCCACACATACCTTGAAAGAAAAAAAATCCCATTGATACCAGAGGAACCAACTCAGAGTGTCAGGCTAATTCATTTACTGTTGTAATTGTGTGCATGCACATATGATGCCAGTATGTGTGTGAGTGCACACATGTGCCACAGCATGTGCTTGGAGATCAGATATTGGTTGCCTCCCTTCCCCTTTACATGGATTCCAGGTATGAAACTCAGGTTGTCAGAGCTGGGTAGTACATGCCTTTATCAGCTGATCTCC